GGACGTGTCCTCCTGCAGGTCCAAGACCCACGTGGGACTGGGATGGGTGGGCAGCCATCCCCCTCCAGCCAGGCACTGGGTGGCCATCACCTCCCTCGCACCCCAGCTGCCACCTGGGCTGGAGTCTCCATCACCAAGCAGGGAGCCCCAGGCAGGTTGTGCCTGTGCTGCTCTTTGCAAACACGCCTGTTGCAGTGTTCGTAGCAACTGCCACCACCTGCCCGGGCGACATGGTGGCATGTGCCCCTCGTGCTGGGAGGAACAGCCTGAAACCTGCAATCGGGTGAGCTGGGGCCCCTGGCAGAGCTGGGGTTTGGCAGGTGCAGGAGGAGTGAACCCCTGGCCAAGGCATCCTTCTGCCTCAAGCACTGCAGAAGAAGCTGCTGCAAACCAGGGAGAGGCTGCAGTGTCTCCCCTTCCCAGTGATGCCCCCCCAAACAGCCATCACGGCCATGAGCCCGTGGGCCCAACTGTGACAACAGCCTGTTCATGTCAACGTTTGCATGGTGGCACAATGGCCACAAACGACCTGTGCCAGGCTCAGCTCCCACAGCAGGCATTTTTGGGGTTGTTCCTCACCCCCATGGCAGGGCCCATTGCAGCCCCATCACTCCTGGCTGCCCACTGGGGGGGTGAGGTGGGGTGTTGGGTCCCAGCTTTGCTGTCCCCCAGGCTTTGATGGCCCCAGGCTGGCAGTGGGAGGTGGGGGATTCCTGGTGCCCAGCATGTTTGGCACTTGGTCTCTGGGAGGGCCCTGGGTGGGCAAGGGGGTCCTGGTGGCCCCAAAGGCCACCCCTGGGATCTAAGCCCTGCTCAGGAGCCAGGATGGGGCACCCCGTCCCTGCCCGAGCTGCCGTAGGGTGGCTACGCCTTCCCCTGTCCCTCTCCCTGCTCTGGCACTCCCCCTAGCCCTGCCCAGTTCCTGAGATTGTCCCTTCCTTGCCCCATCCCTGTCACTGCGTCACCATCTGTCCCTCCCTTCCCATACCCCTACCATGACGGTGCTTCTGGCCTTGTCCCTGTCCTTCACCCAGCCCCATCCCTGACACTGCCCCATCCCTGACACTGCCCCGTCCTTACTGTACCCCTGCCCTGATTCTGTCCCTGCCCTTGACGCTGTGTCTGCCCCTGCCCCCAGTGCTCACACCCTCACCGCTTCTCAGGACCTCTTCTGAGTCCAATTCTGGGACCTGTTCCCTCGGCAGACCCAGGTGGAGCCAGCCTGGGGGCAGTGGGAGGCGAGGAGTGGGACCCTGGGCACAGTCACAGGAGCACCTTCAGCTGCTGGAGGCAGGCGGGGGGCGCCCCCCCCAGCCCCCCGGGCACCAGCATCATCTCCCTCCTGATGGGTGAACTGCCTCCTGCTCCCCACAGTGCCCCAGCTCGTCATCCTCTCACTACACCTTGACGCTGCTGTCGGGTTGAACTGCGCAAAGCTGGCACTTCCTAAAGCCAGAGCGGCTTTCCGGGTACACCAGAGCCCCGTTTGCTCTTTGGCATGTCCCTGGGCCACTTTTTCCCTCCTGACCCCTGCGTTTGCTTTCAAGTCCCCCCCAACCCCTCCATGTGCCTCTCAGTGCCTCCCAGAGCCCCCACTCATCCTCTCCCATCAACCCTCTCCCCCACCGAGAGCACATGAGGTGTTTAAAACTTGCAGTACCCCCTCCATGTGCCTCTCAGTGCCTCCCACAGCCCCCACTCACCCTCTCCCATCAACCCTCTCCCCCACCGAGAGCCCGAGGTGTTTAAAACTTGCAGTTTATTATGCTCCTTGACATGCCACGCAGCCGGCAGCGAGGGCAGCCCTGGCTCCATGCGCCCCCACCGCGGCCGGAGGCACAGGGCTGCTCTAACCTGCCCAGCTGGAGCGCGGGGGGCTGAGCTGGGCCCCCCCAAAGCGCTAATAGCAGTGCAGTAAGGCAAAAGTTTGAATCGTCCAGAAAGAGAGAAGAGCTGTTCACACAACCGCCTGGGCGCGTCAGGCGCTCAGCTGCTCTGGACCAGGTGCAGTTTGGTTTCGATGGTGTCACATTCCCAGCCCCTCAGAGCTCCCTTGGGATTAGTGGGGAGCCCAAGGGATCCCCGACACTGCTGCCCCGACGCCAGCGAGGCGGCTTTCAGGCTGTGGTTACTGCTTCTCTGCCCCCCCAGAGCAGGCAGCCAGCCCCGGGGGTTCGCCCCGTGGGTCACACTCCCGGGGTCAGCAGCAGCTCTGAGCAGGGGGCAGCACAGGGGGACTGAGGGGCAGTGCTTTGCCAGGGTCCTCCACACACAGCCCCAAGGCACCCCACCGTACCTGCAAGAGAGCAACGGGGTGAAGTGCAGATCCCATAGTGTCAAGTGACTGCAGAACACCTGGAGCCCAACAGCTCCACGACAGCGGTGGCTGAGGCTCCCTCGGGATTTGGTCTGGGGCCTTAAAGGGGAGCCTCGGCCCCCTCCCGGTCCCTGGCCGAGGCGGGCTGCCCCGCGTGATCACAGCAGTGCGGCGTGAGCCCTGCGCTGCCGAGCTCTGCTGCCCTACAGAAACAAGTGGAGGGAGTTGGTCCCCACAGCAGCGTCCTTCTTCCAAGACCCTGGGAGGCCTCTGTGCAGCTCCTGACATGAAAGCGTCCCGGTTGCTTCAACGGGATAGAGCTTCCTTGGTACCTGGCTCCACCCCAATTCCAGTTCCTAGCAGTGTTGAGCTCCACTGTCAGTGCCTGCGGCAGCAGCTTCAGCTGTCCTTACAACAGGTCATCCATCCTGGGGCACCGTTTGTTTCACAACTGCCCACTGTGCCTGAGCATGTGTGGTTTTTCCAGACCCCACAACAGCAGGAGAACCAAAACACGGCACCTGCATCCAGGCTGAGGCACCATGTACCCAGAGACTGCCGTGTGCCAAGCAGGAGCAGTACTGGTCAAAGCAGTGCAGGGGAAATTTCCAGGAGAAGCAAACACCTCCAAGAAGCAGTGGCAGTAAGGAAAATGATTTATGGTCTGAGCTTCTTCAGCCCTGGTTTTAGCTCAGACACTCTCCAGTTCCTGCTGGACTGCCCAGAGTCGATGGTTGTGGTGAAAAAGCACAGCTGAGGGAAAGGAGATGCTCCAGTGGAGGCACTGCAGCTCCTGCTCGTAGCTCTTACAGTCTCTGCAGAGCCCACAGCTCAGGAGGATATTCCCAGAAGAACCTCAGCCCTTTCTTTCAGTAGGTATCATTCCCAAAGTCAGACCTCCTTCAGGGAACCTTCCCCACCCACCCCACATACCCCAAGCTTTGCACGTTCCTTAGAGCGGTCCATGTCCCAGGGAATGGTGGGCACAATCCTTATTTCAAAACCAGCATGGCCTCTGTCCCATCCTGCCTTGTCAAATGGAGCCCGTGAGTGAGGTAGTACTCCCGCCGGAGGAAGGCATAGAAATAATCCGAGATGAGCAGGATCTGCAGAAGCGAGATGTTCATACGTATCAGTGAAGCTTCAGAACAAGGAATAAAACAGGAACAGAGATGTATTTGTAATGGACTCTGAAGGGGTTTCAGAAGTCCTTAGGCTGTTCGTCCTGCTCTGCGAGAGGAGTCACTGACCCTGGGAAGACTCCCTGTCAACTGCCTTGTAGGGCCAAGTAAGACTCAAACTTGTCTATCATCTGCTGTGCTACCAGTGTGTTCTCAGACATGTCTCCGCTACAGACAGTAGCTCCATAAACTGCTCAAAATACATGGCAACGGCAGGCCCATCTCTGCCACAGCTTTACAGACCATCTCAGCCTCCTCCTTCCACGCAAGCACTGTCATGCAGCTCAACCCAAAAGCTGACGACTGCTGTTCAGCACTTTGCAATTCTGATGACTGTTTTCAACAGCAATTCTGCTCAGAAAGAAGCTTGGAGCCAGCAGCGGGAATACCACAGCTCCCCACTCAGCCTCAGCAAACAGAAGCTTTAGCAGTTTAACAAAATGCTGCTTACCAGGCCGATGGGTGAAGAGCTGAAATGTCAAAGCTGTGGCCTCACAGTAGCAACAGCAGATAAAAGTACTTTGTTCACCCCCATCCCTCTGCATCTCCTTCCTGCCCCTGTGCTGTCCTGCCCTCTGTGGGGCAGCCACCCTGTGTATGCACGCCTGTGTATGCACCCCTTTAAGTGGTGACCAGCTCTGGCTATCCCCCCGGCTGGCTATCCCCCGGCTGTCCCCTGATCCAGGCCAGAGCGTGCTGCCGCACACTGGCATGTTGGCACTGTCCCGTGTCACCCAGGGGACGGGCGTACCTAAGGCTGGTATTGCCACCGGCCGCGCTGGAGCGTGAAGTCACAACTAAGCACCTTGCAGAGAACTGCAGTGAGCATGGAAACCTGAGGGGGAAATCACGAGGTCCCTCCTCTCCTCAGCCCCACTTGGGTTGTATGGAGGCACCACAGCGTGACTAAAAGCACCGAGAACCCGCAGGTGGGTCTCAGTGGTTTTTCTAAGGCAGTCACCTTGGGCAAGCTGCCTCTGCAGGGCCCGGCCGGGCTGCTGCAAGAGCCGCCAGCGCCTGGCTGGCTCGCGGGTGCCACTGTCACTTCGTCTCTTGTAGTGCGACCCATCCCCAGGAATGCTGACCTTTCCATCTGGAAACAGCACCACATAGCTAGAGTGGAAAACCTTTTCGGTGCCAGACCAAGACAGTAGTTATTGTCCTAATGGCCAGATGCCACTTAATGCATCGCTTCGGCACAATTTCCCTGGAGAATTCATTCCAGGGAGAGCCTCACCCAAAGTCTGCTGCAGTGCTAAGGGCACGGAGGGAGGGTCAGGCTGTCAGCCACAGCCTGCCTGGGTCACCACAGGATGCAGCTGCTGTGGAGAAGGCTCAGTGGCAGGACGGGAGGATACGGAGGACCAGGTGGAGACTGACAGAAAGAGAAGCAGGGCTGCAGACTGCTGAGGTCAGAGGAGAAAGTGTGAAGGAGAACAGACAGAGAAGGGTAGAGGTGCCCAGGGAGAGTAAAACCAGCCACGCTTATTCTGTCTGCTTGTTTTACTGAACACCATGGCTGACTACTGATGTGCTGCAGGCCTATGGTTGACTGTACTTCTAATTACACTTCCCTGCAGATGTCTTAATGGGAGAAGAAAGAGCCGAGGTTAGTGGCGGCGAGCGCCAGTTCTTTCTCACAAGGAAATCAGAATGCAGATTTTTGCTCTGTCTCCATTTACACAGAGCACAAGACCTTGCAGCATCTGCTACGACTTTCTCAGGTAGGAAATAAAATCCTCTTAGAATATCAACACTTCCCATCTGTTAAGTTTTACTATTCCTTTCTTTCCACAGCAAGACACGTAGTTAGAGAGCTAATGAACTGCTCCCAATTTCCTATAAGCCCTTCTTAGCAGAATCTGTATGCTCCCTCTCACCCCACTTGAGGGAGTTTCTTTGTGCTTTTACAGAATGGGGGTTTGTCCCCATTTATCAAGGGGGTGGGGGAAGTACAAGCAGGTGATTTTCAGCCTCCGGTAAAACTGGTCCTCCAGTTTTAGGAGGAGCAGACAAACATAAATGCCTGAGGCACATTCAAATTAAAGGGAACTTAACATGAACTGAACCTTCTGCTCACCCACACGTGAAGCTGTCCCAGAAAAAGCACAGAGCAGAGGAAGGACTTACAAAAGGGTGTAGTAACTGTGTACATTGAATCCCACCCTCCAGGGGTGCTCAGCTGTGTCTTCCCTAAGACTAGCGAGTGTCATGTATCTAGAACAGCCTTGAGAAGCAGGAGAGCAAGCCCTGGCATGACTGGGACCCTGCGTGTGCCCACAACCCTGTTTCAGTGAGGTACAATGCTCAGAACAATTGGTGCCACGTCCCAGTGTATGGGCGGTTCTCACTGACCTGTTGTCTGGCCCCACTGCTGCTGCCCCATGCTTTTTGCATTTCCTCTCTGAGCTCACCTTCTCCATTCAGGCGTGCTCCTAGTCCTGCCATACCGAGATGCTTCTCCTCCTGCTATCAAGCAACAGACCACGTAACATGCAGCACAGCCTACTTGGATTGCTAAGCTGTGTCCCAGTGTATGGGCGGTTCTCACTGACCTGTTGTCTGGCCCCACTGCTGCTGCCCCATGCTTTTTGCATTTCCTCTCTGAGCTCACCTTCTCCATTCAGGCGTGCTCCTAGTCCTGCCATACCGAGATGCTTCTCCTCCTGCTATCAAGCAACAGACCACGTAACATGCAGCACAGCCTACTTGGATTGCTAAGCTGTAGCTCAAATTTAGTGTGCCAGAAGGTGAGGACTAAGCAGATTTCAGCGGGAGCGAGGAGAGGCAGGAAGCTGCTGTGCAGGACCAGCGGACGCAAAGAGCCAGACATCCTGCAGAATCCTCTGTTGCTGACAGGACACCCAATCCAGTGACGGGCCCGAAGTGCAGCCTTGTTTGCCTCACTCTACTAACCTGCCCTATGTTGAAAGTCAACGTGATGGCATAATAAAAATTGGAGTTGGCACTTCCTGCATAAATCCATAGATGCCACAGAACAGGGAACAGGACGGAGCAGACAATGAGCACACATGACAGGATGAAGATGTTCCGGAGGACTGCAAAAGAAAACCAAGCTGTTAAAACGATGCATTATTGAGCAGCCATGCTCGTGCAACCCACAGTGGTTATTTTTAGGGTATGTGCAGTGGCAGAGAGGCACCTGCCACACATACTCCAATAATCTTTCACAATTTGTTTTAATAATTTCTGGGCTAGCTTTTATAAAAAACCCACTATATTTCCCTTTAAAATAAATCCTTCTGCCTTTGCTAGAGTATGAAATCCTCATTTGTAGCTATTTCCTTCTAGGTCCTCCTTCCATTCTTCCTTGAATAACTTTGGCTTTTTGGTGTCTACACTACTAGCAGCGTAACTAGCAGTTTTGAGAAGGGCCTTTCCACCAGCATCACGATTCAGAGAGCAGAGCATACCATTCCCTAGCCTTGCCAAGCTGGTGTCAAAGGGAAAAAACGAACCTGTGGGCCATAGGAAAAGAAATATTTTCTCATAAGAAGGTAAGGAAATGAGAGCACCATTAAGGAGGAAACTCATGTAGGCAATATATTCATGAGCACATGACCTCAGGAGGTGCACGTGTGGCCAGAATCCATCTGTGTGAGTATGTGCCAGAAGGACAAAAAGCAAGCACAACTTTGTCTAAAAGAGGTAGGAACTACTAGGCCAGAAGAGATTTTGTTTTCTATGGACAATTTATGCCTGTTCTTTGGCAGCAGCATCATAATTCATCCTGTGGTGGTGTGCTTGGCTATAGCTCAGCCAAGGCAAATGAAAAACTCCCGATCACTCTGCAGCTGAAGGGAGCTATCTGACATTTGAAGAGCATTGTCACAGCCAAACCTGTTCATGCCAATCTTTTTTCAACTTCTTGTTCAGTAGGCTCTATTCATGCACTGTGGGGTGGGAGCATGTGACAGATGACTGTCCCTCTCCCTGGTCACAGTCCCCTTGTCTACATGCTTGGAAGGTGCAGCTGAAGGATGCTGAGTCAGGATTTCTCTTCCTGCCCTGTTTTATCACAGCTGCTTTGGCCTTCACTTTCCTTAGTCTGAAGCCAATAGAGCACATGGTCCCCCGTCTCTGAGCTCCTGATTATGTCTCCTGACATTAAGCAGGCAAGCTGTCCATAGACCATGTGGCCTGGGTTAGAGAAGACTGCAGTAAAAAGCCCAGACAACCCAGCAGGGCTAGTGAAAGCAGTTGGTTTAAGCAAGAAACACCAGGAAAAACAGTGCTTCCAAGTCTCCCCAGTGTAGCAGGTTCTATAGACTGAGTTTGAAAAGCAGGAAGCTCGCTGGTGATTTAAAGAGGTTCTTTTTGAAGCATTTAAAAAAAAAACAAACTGGACAATTGCTTGGAGTAATTCAGTTACTTTCACTCTAAGCAAACAAGCAGAGGCAAAGCAAAGAACCACTGCAAGGTGCAGGGTTTTAAGGAGGGGGAGTCAATTACAGAAGCAGTGTTCAAATTACACAGTCTGAAATGGGAGTGAAGCATCTGAAGGGTGGACGCTCTTTAAACAAGCCACATCCCTTGTGCAGGACTGTAAAAGATGCTTACAAAAAAGGTACTCTTCAGAATAATTTGGAGAGGGGGAAGATAAGGTACAAGTGAAAATTCCCTCCTCAACCAATTTCAACCGTAGTCCTGAAGATGCAGTAGCGACTGTATCAGCAGAAAAATCAAGCCTTCTTCCAGACACCCCAAGGAGGCCACAAGAGCCTGCGGACATGGGCCCAGTTTGGTTTACTGGTGCCAGTTATTGGGCAGGCCCTTTCCCATTCCAGATAAACAACAATCAAACACAAAGAACTTACATCTGTAAAGGTGGTTCCAGACTGGAAGGAAGGCCATGTACAGCGCAACGTCTCCCACAGTGGGGTAGGACTTGAAGATAGAAATGATTGCGATCTGGACAAACATGAAGAACACAGGATGCTCCCTAGAAGGGAAAAGACACAAACAGTAAGAGGATACAGTAGGGTCTCTGGAAATACATATCGGCAAGGGCACAAATGCACTGTGGAATAGGCTCAGAGAGGGTCTCGTACTCCTCTCCACACAAGCCTCTGAGTGCAGGGAGGGGCAGACTGAGCTGCTCTGCAGAGAAGCACTATAGGAGGATGCATGTCTGCTCTCACACAGGAACTTCCTGCCTCGACTCAACATACACTGATACAGTTGGTCATCTGGGCTGCTCTTCCCCAGCTCTGTCTTTAGTCACTGACCAGCAATCAGCACCTCCTCTCTGAAGGTTCTTTGGAGAAGCCCATAGTTATCCCTCTGGTATGTCATGATGCCTGTGTCCATTCAAAGTCAACAGGATAAGCTCACTGAGCATCCAGGCGTGTTAGTGGGTGTTTTTATCAGAAAGAAGGGAGAATGCCAGCACAGCCCACTAACAATGTCCCCAAGTTTTTACCTTTTTTCTGACAATAAAAAACTTGAAGTTCCAACCAAGAGTTCTTACCTTCTGACTACACTGGATTACAATGACAGGGAGCAGACACCTCTATGGCCTGAATTTCTGCTCTCTCTTTTGATGCCTGTAAAACAACTGATGTATAGCAGAGCCCAACTCACCCAGTTTAAGAAGAATAAAGATTGAAGCTTTGGGCAATGAGGAGGATAGGCCCTATTAAAAAATGCTATTTTTTTCAGGCTTGTAGATCCAGATATCTGACCGTATAAGCTTCCACCAGACAACTGAGAGTAAAAAAAAAACAAAAAAAACGTAACAGAGAAATAGAAATGCACTTACTTTAGCTTTATTGCCAATGGAATGGTGTAGAAGAACACATTGATTTGAAACACGCATACGAAGAAAAGACTAAAGTGTTCAAACATCTCTGCAAAGAAGTACCAGAACAGGCCAATATTGGGTGTCAGATCTGGAACGGAAAGGCTGAAATTTGAAAAGAAAAATCAAAGTAACATTTTAAAGTAGTTGTTTTCACTGCCCTGCTTCTGTTACATTAATTAATCATTGTGTGCTACTGGATGGAGAAACTATATTTTAAGTCCAAGCAAGAGAAACCAAAGGGACTGGACAGCAAAGGGACTAATCCTTCCCTGAGCCCCAGCAGGATTTAAACCATTCCCAAGCAGCTCTCTCTCCAGGGATGAAAATTTCACAGCCATGGTAACTCAATGATCAAATCCATTTCCAATCAACTCTGTGGAAAACATCTCCTGTCTTTTCTAATTCTTGCTGTTACTTAACAAACAGAGGTTGGCTAATGCCTGCCCTCCTCCACACACTCTTCTCCTGCATTACCAGTAAAATCACAGATCACACGCTCCTTAGAACTGGGAGTGGGGCACCTGTGTGTGATACACAAGAACAATGTGGGGGGGGTTAGACAGAAAAACCATTAAGAATCCTTATACTTACATAAACCCATAAACAGATGGGATAAAATCCCAGGAGTTGAGGAGGAAGAAGGAGAGGCAGATGATCACCACCAGGCTGCACAGGTACAGGGATGCATACTGCATGGTGTAGAGCCAGAAGCTTTTGCTTTTCAGTTTTACTGGTATGAACTGACGCTGAAAACGAAATACAAGCAGGCAGATAACCCTCATCAGGTGGAAAGCTACACGAAAGCATCAATCACTGGCGCTATGGCACTGGAAGAAGCTCTCAAGCACAATTTGCTTGATGGTCTTCACTCTGGTCAATTAAGTCATACACATTGCAGATATTTCCAGAACTGTGCTTGCAGCTAAGCTGGTCACTTCTGCTTGCAGCGAGTTGAGTGTCATGCCCTCAGTGTAAGATTTAGACACACCTCCTCAGTTACACTTGTACTTGAGATGTTTGCAGTGCTGTACTGCTGCCTGCCTTCACATGCCTGCATGAACCCACACCAACTGGGTGACCGAGAGCCCTGCTCCATGACCCACCACCCTGTGATCCAGCCACGTGAA